TTTTTTCCTTTTTTTTTTTTTTTTTTATGTGTTAGTCGCCGTGGCTTGTTCTATCACGTGCACGCCTCGTCGAGGATGATGCTATACAAGGTCGAGCGTACACGCGCCTGACAATAAAGTTACTAAAGGTAACCGAACCGACGAGCAGATATTTCATTCATGCTCTGATATTTCATTCATTTCTCAGGTGAGAGCCCGTTGAGAGATTTTTATCGTTGTTAAACTTTATTGTTACGTCGTGTAGTCTGCGTGGACTTGTAACAAGAAGCATGATCATCAATCACTGTATGAACGTCACAAGAGAGGGAGAGACGACAAGCATGTTTTAGGCGATCTTCTTATATTTCAATATTTTTAATATTTTGTCATCGTGTAACGAAAGAAGTTTTGTTTTTAGGCAAAAGTATTGTTACCGAGACAAGTAACATTTTGTTTAAGAGCGTCAAAGCTGATTAAAAATACAATTCTTATTCAATACAGCAACATAATGAATTTTACAACTGCTTCCTCGTAAAAAAAGATAGAAAATACAATTTATTACATTCTTCTCTCATAATCATTATACTTTTCTAAAGTAACAATGCCTCTTATCACATGATATTATGATACTTGAGAGGTTTGGAAAACTTCATTTGAGATGAAGAAACTATTTTCTGTATCCAAAAAGAAATTCAATTTAATCAAACTGTATTTTGGGCACATTACTACAATATCTCTTTCTTCCCTTTTTGTTTTTTAGGATTAGCTTGCACAAGTGATATCAATGAATCTAACTATTTAAGATGCAGAAGTATGATACAAAATCTGAAGCAAGAAATCTTTCACCAAAATGAATATATACACGTACATGGTGTGAATGTGAAGAGAGAGAGAAGAAACAAAAAGAAAGAAAGAAAGAAAGAAAGAAAGAAAGAAAGAAAGAAAGAAAGAAAGAAAGAAAGAAAAGATACGGTGCATTTAATTTGACAAGAGTGAGAGAGTAAAAGAAATCTGTATCTCGTGAAACAGTGAGAGAGATCGGACCAAGTACTCACCAGATTTCGAGTCTTGATTACCGAACACGGAGGAGAAACTGTTATCTGTAACAAAGTTATTATTTGCTGGGGGCACTGCGGCGAAACCTACAAACGAAAAAAATAAAAACAGATCGATGAAGTAACAGAAAGAGCACGGTTTAACGATGTAACAATCGTATAAAAATCAAATGAAAATGTGCAACGATAGCGAAAAAAAGAAAAAAAAAACAACAACAAAAAAAGAAAAGAAAGAAAAACGAAAGATTAAATTTCGTTTCGGAGCACTTTAAAATTGACGACCCTCTCTTTAACAATTTACACGTTACAAATCTGTGTGTTGCGATCCAAGCGAACAGCACAAAATTCATGTACTCTCAAAATTTTACTTTCAAACAATGATCCTGCGTTCCTCGAAGTTAGTAGCCAGCAGAGTCCAAAACGAAGTTCGGCGAAAGGAAAATTAAATAAGTAAACAACATAAAATGAAATACTCGTATTTACCGTTACCGTTAGTCATCCACATATTGTTCTGCGTTTGCGTAGCCGGCGCAGCTGCAGGCTGCGGCGCTCCGAACATGTCCGCGAAAGGATTGCCCGCTAATTGGAGCAGGTCATCCGACGCTTTTTGCGGCTGGAAACAACGGAATGTAATTATTGTGAAAACGAGCGAGCTGTTATAAATGCTGCAATTTTCTAATTACTTGATTATCGGCGGTCGTTGTCGTTGATGGCGCGCTGAACAGATCAACTATCGGCTGATTGGCATTGTTCGTCGGCGAACTGAGGAATGGATTCGTACTTGGTCCGCCCGACGGTGATTGCACTTTCGCCTAAAATAGAGAAAAGTGATGAGTCGTGGAGAAGCAGCACAGGCTTTTGTAATAAACGAACAAACAGAACTGTAGGCAATTTGTATTGAAAGTTCAGATTCTCATAAATCTTACTAAAAATAAATGTGAGAACCACCGGGAGAGAAGTATGATAAGTTTCTTGACTTTTATCTGACTTGTATATTGTTCTGTAAAATACAAGTTGACTCGTCATACTTTTCACCGGTGGTCCTTCAAACCGACAACCTTTTGGTACCTTGTACTGATTCATAGCAGCCTCCTCTTCCGCGAGGGCTTGCTGCCGCAGTGCTTCGTCGATGTGTCCATTTCCGGCGTGGTCGAGGCGGTTATTACTGGCTGCTGTTCCAAACGCAGTACTGGTGGAAGACAGGGCGGACACTCCCGACTTTACATTCGTTCTATTGCTGCTCGGGTAATGATTGGGCGATGGATACGTGTAAGATGGATAGGTGGACAACGTGGATTCACAAAGGAGGAAAGACGGAGGAGAAGCCATTTTCAGCAGAGAAGACAAGTGTGGCGGTATAGTAGGAGCGAAAAAGGAGCGAAAAGGAGCGTTGATCATTGAAAACAAAGGAGAAGACAAAGAAAAACAAAAAGAAACAGTGTAGTACGTATAAAGATAATAACGATGTGTAAAAAATTCAGCTACTCAGTGCTCTTTCACCCAAACGTACATACAGATACACTCAGTAAGTAATATGTGATCATTGTGCATGCTAGCACTTTCTCTTTTTTTTTTTTTCTTTTTCCACGAATATTTCCGTATTTGTTCTTTTAGACAGTGTAAAAGTATCTCTCACTACGTATGTACGTTTCCCGATGGACTCACACAAGCAATTAAGTTGAGTAATACTACCTAATGTGTTTTACAGTGTAAATAAAATAAAAAGAAAAAAAGAACACAAGAAAGAAACACACACACTTTCTCGCTTGCTACTTGCTACGATACGCACCGTTTATGTACAGACCAAACATGTGCAAGAAAATATCACCTAGCTTCTAATTTTACACTCTAAATTGATCTCGACAGTTTTTTTGAAGAATATGTCAATTGGAGATAGAGATATGTTAATTGTTAAAGTTGTTATTGATTGTACGAGCTTCGATAGCTCATTGTGTACAAGAAACATAGTGGTCTATTTACGATCAATTAGTCAGAATAGAAACTTTAACAAACAATGTGATCATTTATCTTGGAAATGTATTTTAATTCTGAAATTGTGAACGAGATATTCCAGATGTTCTATTAAATACTTCTGCTGTATATGTGTGTATATCACCAGAAGGTGAATCAACCGAAACATAGATAGTCATGCAATAACCAGTGATAAAATATTAAAAAAAAAAAAAAAAGAAAATAATTTGCGATAAAACGTAATCTGTTGGGTAGTAAAGCTAAGTGAAGTTTCTGCAGAAGATATAGAATAAAATTTCTAGAAATCATAAGAAGCGACAACAAACTGATTCGATACCAAACATAGTTTGACACTATAGCCTGCGGAACGAAAAATAATAAGGAAGGAGGGAAATAAAGGAAAGAAATGAAGAAACTCCTCAACGAAAGAAAGAAGCACAACACGATCTCAAGCAGTAGAAAAGAAACGCCAACATTACCTTTTACCCAACAATTTACAAAACATTTTGCGAGGAGAGTAGTTTGATTAACGATTGGATGATAAATGGGATTTGTATCTTTGTATGTCGTTGAATTTGCAATAGAATAGTAACAAAGGAAAAAGTCTGATGGGATTCGATGCCTAAATATGCGACATTATGCTCTTTGAATCATGATAATATTCTATAGAAAAAGTATTCTTTTCCAAGTAAAGAAAATACCTTATTCGCAGCTTTATATGTATTGTATATGCGTTTCATGTTTTACCTTTTAACAACAGACGAATCGCAAAATATTCCTTCAAATTAGTAAATTTAATCCTACTTCTGAATGTTAACTTAAGTTTTAGATGTTTGTACAAATTATAATTAACACACCTTGCAGACTGCGTCGGTGTGTTTGCTGCTGATCCTTTCTTTCCTTCCAGGGATGCAAGATGTTGCTCTAACGCGTCCAGTAAGCTACTAGGGGCCTAAGAAATGTCCATTTTCAATATTTCACCTAGATATATTTTTCTATAGAACTCAAGACTATGTCGTATTACGTTTTGAATCCAACTAGGATATATTTCTCACCTTTGTCAGATCAGGTATGTCTCCTTTATCAATGCCAACATTCTAAAACGAAATAACAGAAATTAATCATCACAGAGAATCTGCCAGAATTTACATAATTTACATAATTTACATAATTTGTATATTGTGAAAAATTCAACTCACCTCGGCAACTTTCAAGAATTCACCCACCCGATCCATTCGTATGAGAAACTTTTTGTACAGATCCAGAGCCTCGCGACACTGCTTCTTATTCATATCAAAATATTTCTCTAAAATACAAGAGAGAAGTAACGATGAAATACATCTTTTTTAGGATGACAAATAGATGCCAAGCGATAGACAGACAGACTACCTAGCAAATTAATAATGCCGTCGTTGTAACAGGCGAACAGTCTAATCAAATCTCGAAAGAGGAGCATGAAAGCCATGTTTATGACGCCGTTGGTCAGATCGTTGGCGGTGCAATCGAACTCCAACAGCGCGTCCAATTGCGACTGTAGAACTGGCAAAGTTTTCAGCAGTTTCTCCGCGTTCATTGTTCGCAGTGTACGATCGTCTTTCCTAAATGACACAATCACAAAATTAGAACGAGAGAAGATATACACTATCTCCTTCTTTCTCCAGATTAATCAAAATCAATCGCTTACCCCCTTTTCACCTTGCAAAAGTCGAACGCCACGGTCCTGTAGGAGAGTGCCTTCTCGTTGAGATACTTTGCGTATCTCCTGATGAATGGTGACATGTCGTAGCCTAATGACAGAGAAGAATCAATTTAAGAGGAAGCTTGCAGGAATCCAAAGAAACTTCACAGGGTTCGTGGTCGATGGGACAAATAAATATTCAGTATCTCCCCCCTCCCCACCCCAGAGGAGACAAGATGAATTGAAAATTGAAACTGTGCAAGTGCAAAGATCTGCGTGCGTGCATGTGCAAGCAGGCACAGGCAGCATTGTCAGGATTATTCGATTTTAACAACGCTTTCACAGTCTGGAGAGTGAAAAGTGTGCATGACACGCAAATTCATCTTGACTTCTTGAACACGACATCTGAACATTACATGTTTCAGGGGAGACCAGTGACGGTGGCAATTTAATTAGTACCAGAAATTATAAGTAGAACGTTGATTTCCCTGTGGAATTCATTGTGCGACACTTCATCATCAACAATTGCCATCGTAACTTTTCAAATAATAATAATCATGTAAAATACATAATGTTTTTCCGTTTCTGTTCAACAATCCCAGTTTCACATCCGACTGATTATTCCAAAGCTAAGTTAAATAAAAACGTGGAGTTAACGTTCAGAGATTAATAGGGAGAGAACATTCACAGGGCGAAGAGAAAATTAATTAGATGTTAACTCACCAATGCGTGCTCCTGCTGTGGCCAAATAGAGAGAAAATTAGTTCCAGGTTAGTAAATCATAGAGAGAGAGAGGCCAAAGATACACATACACAGCTGCATAACGCTAGGAAGTTACGTTCCTAGTTAGTTGGCTGAGAAGAACTTGTTATTAAATTTCTGATTCCAGACTAGAGACAGAGTGGCATTCTTGGAGACATTTGCTTATATGTAACGCGACTGTTCAATTCGACAATTTGACTTAAGTTAGTAACTTCAGTTTTCACACTTTAACTGCAAATTCTCGTAATTTCAATCCTCTTTCTAACAGCAGTCAAACGACACGGCTCTCGTCGTACTTTGAAATACAATATTTGCAATTAACGTGTCGGAGCAACGAAATTTATGGCGCTATTGAGCTATTGTGTGGGAAAAAAGAAATGTGCTCGCGTGCGTGCTACCATTTACATGTAGACTCAGTTTTACTTCTCGGCGAAGTTGTTAATAGATTGGTTAACAAACAAAAGCAACAACAAAGACAACTTCATGCTGCCTCGATAATGGTTCAATTAAATCACAGTCCACGCGAGTCTGGTTTATCAAATTAATTCAAATTACTTACGACATAAATAAAGAATAACTTTGATTCTTATTCCAAACATATCTATCTCATAATTTCACAATTTTTTCAAATGTATACTAGTTCTTCCGTTTCACTGATTCTTTAATATCATCTCTGTTTATATCGTTGTCCCTTAATTTGATTTCCACAATGTGCCCGAGCTCCAGGAACAAGGCATTCGAATTTAATTAAGATCATTGGAAAGATGAAAAGAAGAACACGGAGCAATGAACATTGACAGGGAGGCGAACGGAATCGAGCATCTAATTGAACCACTCGACAGAAGTTAATGCAAGAAGATTCTTTTAAACAATGTGATCACCTTGAACACCGCTTTTATCGAGAAAATTACTGAGTTGAAACGTGCTGTTACTCGACGCCAGATACTGTGTAAACCTCTGCAACAGAGAAAGGTCATTGCACTCTTAGATTAGATTCTCCAGGAATCACCTTTCCTCTACACACTTTGTTCATAAATATCTCAAATAGTGTAAATTAGTTTAACAATATAAATTAGTGCCCAATCAATTTCACTTCATCTGTATATATAATATCCAAGAAATAAACATTTGAATTATCGGAATTTGTCAGAGAGTATCTTCCATTCGAGATCTTTATCACGAGTTATAAACCGAGCAACGTACGCAATATTCTAAAACAAAAGAGAGAGAAAAAAGTCCGTTACTCGAATTACTGGCATTATTGTCGCCGTTATGGCTCTGTCCAAAGGACTATGACTATGTTACAGTTGCTGTTCTCTATTGAATTGCATGTGCAAACCGTAAATGTTAGACTCTGGTCACGGACTCGTGCTATTCGATCCCGGTGTTGTACATTCACGCACAGGCGATTGGCAAGGGCGACGACACTTCCCCTCAACTCATTACTGCGCCAAAATGAGTTAGACAACCTCTCGATGTAAATAATACACCGTACATTCTCTGCGGCTCGCTACCGGACCGCTCTTCGTAATTTTGCAAATAATACTACTATCCTGGATCATTTTCCTGCTGACGAATCTCCGCAAACTTGCGTGTAAAAGTAATTACAAAATTATGAGAACTATTGACTTTGAACAACTTATTCGATTGGCCAATGAATTCAGTGAACTTTTAAAATGCAATAAACGAGAGGAAATTTGTATTATATTCATCGCTTAATTGAAAACCAATTAAGGAGAATGTACAAGTTTTACTTTGTAATTGATGTTTCACAAGAGATGTTTCGTTACCCTATTATCCCTAAATTGGCATTCATCGAGAGGCAAGGGGAAAGAAAGCTCGTCTGTTTGCCCTTAAAAAGTCACTTTATCAGAGAGAACCATTCGCGGTACTCGTGGATCCTATTCTGCATTGCAGATAAATGAGGGACCTCGTGGTCTTTACCTCATTGCCGTAACAAAGCATATGGTGCACCGTGATCAGAGCTTTGAAAACAACCGTCCAGTTCGTGTTCTGCGATCGTTCTATCAGAAGATTCGCCAGCTGAGGTATCGACACGTTCGGTTCGTTCGTGCACCGCACCAAGTCTGAAACAGAGAACAATGAACCGATCAGTCAAGAATTTCATTTACTTCCCCAATAGAAAAATTACTTCCTCCTCTTTTTTTTTAAAGAGATCAGACTTGAAAGTTTGTCGAGTATACTTGGACTAATACTGACTAATTCTTTTAACAAGAGATTAAATAATAAAGACATCAGGTACAACAAGATTACTAGAACACCCTGTATAATAAATTACTGTAATACATTGCCGCAAAGACAGAAAAAAAAGATCAGATAAAAAATTCTTTGCTTCATACAAAGTCCCAGCGAATAGTCTTTCATGTTGGAAGAAAAGTATACATGTACTTTTAATAATGTGTGTTGTACAGAGCAGAGAAGATGGTGTGATAAAAAAAAAAGAATAAGAAAACGGCCACTCGTAAACTTTTTTACTGCTCTGGAAAACAGCAGCAATTAAAAGACCAAGATTGACTTAAGATTAACCACTGCCTCTTTCAAGCCGCTTTCGACGAGACCATAAAAAACTATATATCTATTATCTCGACTCAATCACTTCCTTCACATTCCAGCAAACTGTGTAATTGATCGAACCGTTGCTTTCCATTACAGCGGATGGAAAAAAAGATCTCATGTCGGTGAAAATGACTGCCGAATAAAGAAAGACCATTGTTGCATCAACAATGTGCGTAAAGAAAAACATTCTGCGAAACAGAGCGTAGAACGACTCTGCTTTTCCGCGAATGATTCACGATTTCCAGCCGCGTTTTTCTTCGTCCCATTCATTCTCCAAACGTGGCACGGGGACGATCTAACGTCTCTCCCCGAACTGAAATACCTTTCCCAGAAGACGGAGACGGTTCCGAGATAGCACCTGCTCTCGGAAACAAAGCGATCTAAAATTAAAACTCTGCGCTTCGCGCGTCGGCAAGAGCCGAGCATGTTTCACGATGGTTTCGAATCGGTAGAAGGCAATGAGAAAAGTATAATGGCCGACAAAGGGCTACAGATTGCCAAGTGGTTTCGCAACCGAGTTCTAAGAATATCGGGCACGCCATGTGCGTTCCTTCCCCTTCAATATCTTCCGCCTCGATCACCTTTTCTCCTTTCTTCGCCGTTGCAGAAGGTCTTCGTCGGAGCGTCTTGCACAACTTTTATCATTGTTTTACGTAAGCGGAAAGTGCAGAGGGCACGGCAAGTCGTGGAGTTTCCGTGTGAAATTCTTTGTTTTTGCTCTTCGCGATGAAAGCGCGTCGCACGACTGTTGCCAAAACAGCGAGACGTCTCGGCAAGTGCTCGACCTTGTCACGCCTCCACCTCTTCTAATAATGTTCTCTTGAATACGGATCCAGAAGTAGCGTGTTCATTGAGCGGTGTGTGTTCTTACTATTTATAAAAGGCAGAAACCACGCAGTATGACGTTTGTACTTTGTCAGTGTTGTAACAACAGCAGCTGACGGCTCTGGCTAGTGATCCTAACGCCTAATTGCCTCTTCATCGTGGCCAAATTGGTAGTTAGGGATCTTCGAATTGGACAAGTATCTAAAAGAAAAATCAGCGTACAGAGAAATAGTTGCAGATTTTTTTACTCCATCGATTTAGCAAAAATCAACAAGAACAAGGCAAGTAGGAAACGAGAAGTCTTGCATTCGAAGTGACACCACTACCGATAACTGGCCTTCACCTACTTGCAGTGTCAAGTTTCACGACTGTTTATCTGCTCCTTTCAGGCCAGAAAAAAAAGCTACTTGTACCAACTAATGTGCAAAAGAAAACAGAGTGGAATTCACAAAATTCTTTCGAATTTTTCCTTCGGTCAAACTGAATAGTTTGAAAAGAAAGAAAGAAGTAGAAAATTTTTACCAATTTTTGTGTGTAAGTAATTTTATCACTGTAAGTTCATTAGTAAAGATACGTTCAGAAAATAGTGTGCGTAACACTTTTTCCAGGTTTTTGATTTATATTACTTGATATGTAGTTTCTGAACCGTTCAAGTGTCAGTTGGATATTATGATATCGAGGCGAAACATTGGAAATTCCATAATAAAAACAGGTTCTTCCTTTCAATGGGACAACGTTGAAACGCTAGCTGAAATGTTCGATTCCTCTCTTTCGATCATTGAACATTATTTTCATCGCAGTTCTTACAAAATTCTACAGATCGTCCGAAAGAGATCGTTACTGAAAAAAGACCAAGATAAAATAATAAATAAATTGCTACGTATTCCCCTGATACAGTACAGTTTACCGAAATAGCGTTTGCTAACGAGCGTCTTTCAATTCCGCAAAAAGAAAAGTTTGCCGCGTAAACACAGCCTTGAGTAAAAATCGATAAAGGCGGCCGATTGCTCCTCTTGTTTTCGAACTGACGTTATAAATAAGCAACGAGAAGCATAGTACACGCTGAGAGAATACGGGCAACGTGCTTGCTGCAGCCGTCAGAACGAGGCGAAACCCGATGAATCGGACAGTTGCGAGAACAACAAGAGATAGGTCGTTGAATGTGGCGAATGAACGCAATCTCGCGCTATCGGAATTATCTAAAAGTTGAAGGGGTGTGTGCACGCTGAGATGTTTCTCTCCCGAGGCCAGACTCGGACAGGGGGCGTCACTGATAACGTGTTTTGGTAAGACGATAGCTGCAACAAGCGTGGATTATCAAAAAGAACGGACCTATGTACGTGTTGCAAAACACGAACGCACACATCTGATTACCTCTGGTCCTTGCAACACTGCAATCTGTTCACGCATTCCGTGTTCCAAGCTTTTCCTATTGGCTCCAGCTGACGCGTTTGATATCACCAGTCAGTGATATCTTGCAATGCTAATTTGGAACAATTTGGCTCACAAACTACTGGCTGCCGTCCGTGCAAAATTGGACACTTTGAAATTTCATTAACTCTGCAGTGTAAAATCCGAGCAAAGTGGTTAAAATTTGAAAACGAATCCTTACGTATCGGCCAACACTCACGCGAGAATATATGTTTTGCGATTTCTTCAGAAATCAAAGTATATTTTCTACGCAATGTAATGCGCTCTCTCAACGATTACTTGGTCCGATTATTCCAAATTTGTAAGAATTATCAGACTTAGAACTCGGTCATTCTTTGAATGCAGCTGCCACAGTTTCTTCACCTAAAAGTTTTCATTTATGATAATTTATACGTTAAATAAATTTAGATCCATAAATTAGACCATCTGAGTGGAATAGAAAGTCTAACCTTCTCTGAATATTCTAGCAACTTTCATCTCGCTTTTTTTTCCAAATTTAAATTCACCCAACAAAATAATATGTGCGTATGAATTATTCACAATAACAAAGTTTCGATATTACCATTATAAATCTTTTAAACATTTAATATATGTCGTAGTACAATTAATAATCAACGATATTTTGATTTATCTTATTAACTTTGAGGATAACTAAAATAATCCTTTCCATTTGTCATCTTGATTTTGTGCAATTAGAAGGAACAGTACAATCTCGTTTCTAGAAATACCAACAAATATTATAATACAACATGATTAGAATGACAATCTGAATCTGAATTATTTTTGACAAAAGACAATTCCATGAAAGAATAATCCACCTGGACATTTCAAACAATCACAGCGCAGGGATTGCACAAAAAGCAATAGCGATCGTGCAATTCAATGTAAGCATCTAATCGACTAATTGTAGGAATTCGAAATGGAACAGTCCGAAGGACGACGATCATTGTCTGAGAAGAAACAGAACCGTGCGAAAAGAGACAGAGGGAACGCCGCATCGATAGTGGAAACATCTTCAAGACGACTCATCGCAGGTACAATGCCCGCATGCAATTACACTTGCGGATAAATTACACAATTCAACGCGTCTCAGAATAGATTATCACAGGTATTCTTCATACTCTGCGCGTTTGCATACTGATCCAAGGGAATTATATAAACTGACTGTAATGAATGAATTTATCCTGGGTGAACGATCAAGGAAGGAATCATCATCACAATCCAGTTAAGCTGAAGAGGACCTTAAAATTGGCGGTGACACTTCGAAATCAGTAGAATTTTATTCTTCGTACAAATAAGTTCCTTTTTCCTCCCAAGACGTTATGAAACAATTCAAAAATATCTTAATCATGAATGAAACATTGCAATCATATATGATTGTTAAAGTTATCGATTGGAAAAAAAGAAAAAAAAAAGAAGCAAACATGTATCTCATGTTGATGCCACGAATTTCATCGATAGCTCATAGTGTATGGTGCTATCTTTAGCACGACAAGTGATCATCGGTGGGCAAGTGATCTTCGAATGGGCAAGCAATCAGAAAGATCGCTAGGTCATCGGCTGCGAATCAAGTGTATGGCCGATCGATAGACGCGGAATCTCGAACGAAAGCTACCCAGGATGCATTGCTAGTGGGCATGTGCGAAGTACCGTCTACTTTAGTCGACTACGTGGGTACAAACTTCTCGGTTCTACGATCGATCCGAGTCTTTCTGATCCTTGTATGTCATTTACAATCATCAATCTTAAACAGTAACTCAGCCTCTGGACACGAGATGTCTCTTGGTCTCAATTATTCGGTTTGGTGATTTCTTCGAATTCTGACTATTCAATTCCTTAATTTTTTAAACAGTACATATAACAGGAGATATTTCTATTCATTCAAATGTATTGAAACGACTCTATTTATGGAAAGTTAATCCAGGTTTATCCGAGTCTAACTTAACTCTTTCATCAATTTTGAATATTAAACAAAAATGATACATCTCTAAATAGTTTTAAGAAACGACGAGAAAATTTATAATTTTTTTGCTTTCTTAATAAAATTACGTACATTACTCCCGATTGATTTGTTGTTTTACGAAAGCTTCTCAGAGAAACGATTGGAATCAAACAAGCAAAATTGAAAGTCTATATACTAAACTGCACAATTGCCAATAAACGTTTCTCTTCCAGAGGTTGTACAGGCTGCATCATAGATCGTGTTTGTGGCTCGAGAATGATTGGAAAAAAAAATCCAAAGGTCGTTACATTGTGTTTCCAGACGAACAACAAATTCCTTTCTAAAAATAACAAATTTTCCCTTAGCAATTGACATTACATAATAACGAATCAGTAATGGAATTACCAGGCACGATTACCTTCCTGATCATAACTAATTTCACTTTCCACCAAAGAAAGTCGATTAGTGAAGGCTCAACTAGTATTTTTCTAGAGAGAAAGGGGGATCTTAATTGTTACGTCAGTGTTTATATTTTTTTTTTTTCTTAAGAAAACTTTCTTACATAATTTCATCGTGATGAATAGATGGAAATCCTCATGGTCGATGTTAATTGTCCAATAACCATAACGTCGCATTCAAAGATTGAGAAACATTCAGAAAAGTTAAAGTGACTCACATATCCCGAGTCGTGTAACATGTAATTTTAGCTGCATTTTTCAATTGCTATCAAGAAATTTAGATTGTTATTGAATATACATACTTGGAGCACCAACTGGAAGAAATGTAGATTACTATTAAGAAATTATCAGTATATAATTATATTATTAATTATAATAATAATAATAAATATTTAGAAATTGCTATTAAGAAATTTAGAGTGTCACTGGATAGACAGGCTTGAAATACTAATTAAAAGAGAAGTACATTTTTCACTGACCAAGAAAAAAATTTGCAATTTGAAATAATAACTGATCAATTAGAATAATTATAATACGTAGACTGCTATATTTTTACGAAGATGACAAGAAAAAGAAAAGAGATTTAAATCATAACCTGTAATTCACGTTGAATATCTTATGCAATGTAGCACATAGAATATTTTATGTATATATAGTTTAGTACGTTCTGTGTACTTTTACACTTTCGAATTTCATAAGTGTACGATTGTCCGCAATTTAATAACAGAGTATGAACACTACAAAAAGAAAATTTCCTTCTTCGTTATGTTGAAAAGATGGCGGTTGCGGAGATATTGTAACAAAAAAAACGCGACGAAGGTATCATCGGCAGGAATTCGTCTCACTATCTAAATTAACAGACCGGAAGAAAGACTGCGAGTTCCGTTCAGTTAAACCGGAAACGCGCTCTTGCCGCTAACGAAATACGACTGTTAACATTTTCAACTCATCAGGGGGTAGCTACTACGCAAAACAATGAAACAACCATTAACGTTACCACGCCTTCAAACATTTAAGGTCTTAATTTAAATTCTATGCCTCAAAACTTAAACACAAAAAACAAAAAAAATTGCCATACACAATATATATTATCCAAATCAACCGTTTAATCAACGTTTTATATTGTTCCTTTTACTGTCGCAAATTCTGTTCTATAATTTTTACTACTACGCAAAACAATGAAACAACCATTAATGTTACTATGCTTTAAAATATTTAAAGCCTATGTTCTATGCTTTAAAATTTGAAAACAAACAAGAAAAGAAAATTTTCTATGCACACGATAACCTATATATACTGTCTAAATCAACTATCGTTTTATATCCTTCTGTTGTCGCAGAATTCTGTTCTATAATTTTTTATCTCTCCTATATTCTGAAAAATATATAATTTTCTGTTAAATTTTTACGAAAATAATTCATTTCTTTCTATACATATTCGTATCTTGACATACGTTAAATTTTCAGTTAAATTACGAGTTTATAACCTGTAAATCTATATAACCTATAAATTGAATCTCTACTTATTATATACGAAAATATTTTTGCAGCGATGCAACATACACGAACTAAATAGGCCTGTGGAAATTTTTATCGTTCTTATTTCGAATTTCACAAAAGCAAACAACAGTCAGCGTTAAAATATTTTGTAAAATACGAGGGAGTAATCGGTCAATATTAATTTAACGAAACGTGACGCAATTGTTACGAAATATTTCGAAACTCGCTGGGTAATTGAAAATCGTGTCAGACAGATGAAATTAACTGGGCGATTTCTTTTTCTTTTTTAATTTGCAAATCCGAGTGAATCAATTGGAAATAATTTGATTTACGACCGAAAGGTACAAAGACCTGACACTTTCCGACGAGGGTGAACTTTTAAATTGGAACAGATCAGGTCACAGCACCTACGCGTATATCTACAAACCTTGATGCAACCCGCGCGACAGTGAAATCGATAATCACAAGGAAAAGAACTCGTGCGGTTTCCTATTTCTTTTTCTCTTTTTTTTTTTTTTTCTAAGTAAGAAAATTACTCATTTTCCTGTCGACAGCTAATTCATTTAATCTAGTAACTAATCAGTAACGTACGATAACACGTTCGACGAAAGTTCACGTCACCTCCTCCCGATACCGAAATATATTCGCATAAGTTTCTTCGCTTACTTGTAATTATACAGGATGGACCAAAAATTTCTTTTCACCTTCTTTTTTAAATAAAACATCGAAATACAAGGAAAAACTAATTTTATTAATTTTAAATTAAATTAAAAATTATAGATTTATTTCAGTAGGAAGTGATTTTTGGCCCACTCTGTAGAACTGGATTAATCCTTTTTTTATTATTATTATTATTAATCTTTATAGTAACCTGAGATAATTAATTTATCCTGACCTCACAAAAAATATTCAAACACGCACAGACTGCTTATGAATATACGTACCGTCGTTAATTACAAATATAAAATCGTGCGTTTTAAAAATTTTACCAGCACTGCAATACAAAACACGCTTGTCGCGATTATATTGGCAAAGTTAAAAATATAGATATGCACATTAGATATGTAGATACGTAGATTAATTCATACGAAATACTTTTTTTTTCCAATTGAAACTTACGTAGTTTCTTCCAAAATTTCCACGCGATGGGATTCACTCTTTTTGGTCTCATTGTTTCATGTTCATAAAAATTATCGATGTTAACATTCGCCCAATTCTTTTAACAGAGTTGTTGCCATACGTGCTTGACCCTGATTGATTAACAAAAATATTTTTATAAATGAACAAATGGAAATATCTATTCTGCTTGTAAATCATTGTAATTTAAATGATAATTAAAGTAAGTGGACTTACACAATCATGTTCCAGACAGAAATTAATATTAATTTCGTCAAAAATATCTGTATCATCTAAGCGAATGTTTTGATGTTTCAGTTACTATAGCGTTGAAATAATAAAACTGTACAATTATTTATAAAATCTCCGCAACGATAGTTCTAATAAATGATACATATTTCGTACAGGCAACCCGCAGGGAAAGTGTTGATGTAATTTATGTGCGTTGAAAGGTCCAGAACGAGTTGAATAGAAAACAAATCCTTCATCTTACAATCCAACGAATATTCAAATTATCCAAAATGGCTGGCAACAAATGCTATTGGATATTTGCATTGTGCAAGCACACGTATATACGTATTATAAGAGATTTCAATATGTAAGGACAAGTGTCAAACAGCTTCACGAGAAAACTGTACACTCTGAAAGTCGACAGTTGCTGAAAATTAGAACGATTTATCAACAATCAAGACAGAAAAAAAAAGACTTCAGCTTGAAATTTAAATTCTATTGTATTGCCGTTTAGTAGTACCATAAACACAGTACAGATTGTAAAGGAATATACAGGGTGGCCCTCAACTGATAGTATAACCAAGCAGGAAGTGCTTCTACGTGAAAAACAGAGAAGAAAGAATAGAAAGAATAACATTTGTTCGTTAAAGCCTCTGCTTTCGAGGAAACCGAGTTTGAAAATTTATTGAGTATGCTTCAATTTAATTAAGTCGACAAGCGTGAATAATCAACACTCGAGGATATTCTACATGCAAAAATAAAGCCTAGAACAAAATTTGTTCTTTTCAAAAAAATGCTCAAACATGTTCCCTTGGTACATCAACATTTCTTCAAAAATTGCCTTGATACACAATTGTAATTGATAAATCTTTGAACTGGATCTCCTCAAGAACAAGACGTCTTGCAAAGAAATTTTATTCCAAGTCTTACGTTTATTTTCGCACGTGGAACGACCTTACGTTAATTATTCTCCTCTGTCACGTTTAGAATTAACTAAATTCAAGTATACTTGATCTACAATTTTTTCTCAAATCAAATTTTCTCGAAAACAAACTTTGTTCTTTCCTTTTGACGTTTCTTCACGTAGTCACCTCCTGCCACTAACTACGAGACACCCTGTACATACCGATACCATTGATCGGCGTGCGAACGTAAGACGGTCCCCTGGCCACATTCAAGGAACGTTATGTCACTAATAGGCTTTAACTTCGTGGCAACATTCGTAAACCGATAATATAGTAACGGCAACTTCGCGCAGGAAGCGGCCCCGGGAACTACTTTCGCACGAAACATCTGTTATCAGTAAAGGATCCAGCGTTCAAAGACTTTCACCGTTACTCAACTTAGAAATCTCGATCGATTCTCCACTCAATATTTTGCAACGATATATACATATACATATACATATGTAATATATATGTTGGTTTTCATGTAACGATCGATTAATACGTTGAGTGCCACGTGTATCAAATTTAGTATACGGTGAACTCATTTATATATATATATATATATATATATATATATATATATATACATATAAATAAATTATACTTATAAATGAGGTTCACCGTATACCAAATTCGATACACGTGGCACTCAATGTGTTCAAACCGATTCGAAGATACGAACATGATATGTATATCTCTATTTCGGAGACTGTAGGAGCTTCTATTGCGGTATATAGATAAAAACGAAAATTTCCTCATTAATAATTCCTGTCGTGTCGAGGAGAATTTGAATGGCAATTTTCTAAATTCCTGCTGACCCAAAGCTGCACGATCATCGATAACACTTACGCGTGTCAAATGAGTAATCGTAATAGACGATGTGTACACGGGTGGGCAGGTCACTTTGCCAATGGAACTATACAATCGATACCAACAGCTCACGTACAGAGTGTGGCAGCACGAGGAAAAAAAAGAAGTCTAGCAACAAATCAAGTTACTCGTTTTTTCAATAAAAAGTAACGATCGTGTTATCGGCGTACGAAACGCGACATCCTGATGGTTGTTCAAAATTTTCTGATGACGCACGCCCTGATGAGTGGGCTCCTTCAATCCAACGACGAAAATTATTCAACACTTGCGATGTCCATTGACATTTTCGCCTCTTCCCCTTTTCCGACAAACGGATCGATTTTTCGATATCCAATTCTTGGTAGGCGTTCACATCTGCGAATGCAGCGAGCAGCGTGTAATATACACGTCAATGTACCCATACGTCGCGATAAGATTTTTTCAGAATGTCTAACAGGATTTTCTTTAGAGTGGTGTACTGGTATTTCAACGATCGGGAAGGAATCAAGTATATATATATATATATATATATATATATATATATATATGCTTTCTGGGACACTGCATAATACGAGCTGCACCAATGTTCCAAATTTCAGCAAAGAATTTCCATGTTTGTGGTTTAGTATCCTCTCTCTTTTTCTCTCGTCTGAAGACCTCGTCAGCCAAGGGGCACTTTCGTTCGCACATCTTGAAATGGAAAGTAACGCGTTAATGAGTGTAACAGGCAGAAAATATACAGGAAAGGCACTTCGTTTTTCGTATGTACATCAGACGTGACTAATGCGGTAACGTTAACACCCAGGCGTCGGCTTGGGTTCACGCACCTTAAAGAAACCGTTTGATCTTGTAAGAAAAAAAAAAAAAAAATGCATGTATTCCCGGTAGAAACATGATTCGCCTTCCGACTAGTCCAAGAATGGCCTTGCAAACGTTAGTCAACTATTGTGTACAAATACATCTAACTGATACATCCTTGTATAAGGACCAATGTTCTCGAAACAAGGTCCTCCGAATATCCAGTCACTCGCTACTTCTGCTTAGGAAAAAAACTCGAGACACTGGAAAGATTAAAGATTCAAAGTAACATCTGACTTAATCGAACGATTAATACAGAAAACACAGTACCTTGCTTCCTACAAAAGCATCGATTTTCAGACAGTGAAAATTTTCAACATCCAAGAAAAGGTTACGCGTACGTGGACTAACGTGTTAACGATTTTTTTTCATGTACGTGCAGAATCCAAGGAATGTAGGTTTTCGAACGTAAACGGTCGATTCTGCGAAATGGATATGCTCGAAACGTTTTGTAACCTAAAATTGTGCTTGTTCAAGATGCCTCGCTCGTGTGTAAGCAATCCATCCATGAAAATTGATATATCAAACATGAGATATTTGTTGTCACATAAAATATAACAATATTTTCGCCAAGAAGTTGAACCGACGACGCGATAATCAGAGCTAAAAAAAAAAAGAAAATTGGAATATCTTGACAATCCTCTGCCAAACAGAGAAAGAATTGTTCGTCCACACCACAGGTTCAGGTATTGAATAAAAGCTCTACTCCAAAAGCAGAATTCGATCAATGTGAGTCAGACCGATGAACAGATACAGTTGTATGCAGATCGTAAAAGCAGAATTTCAAGGTAAAAAACGAAGATAAGTTCCCCGTGGATATCAACAGTTACCGCGTTAATTACAACAGTCTTCGTCAGCGCGAGAAATATTAAAATCCGACTTACCTAGAAAAAAGGTAATTCCATCTAAGTGAATCTAAAAGAAACACTTTCCAACGGAGAATATCTCAAAGATATCGAGTCTTATTGAACTTACATTCGAGATGCTTCTTTTTTGGTCCTATCATCTCCTCGGTGGTCGCTTTGCAGACAGCTTTGGCAAGACCCTGGCCGGCGATGCTGTGCCTCGCTGCCAATAGCCTGTCGTTGATCGTCTGTCCCGCCATACTGTCCCTGCTGCTTCTGTCACACTCGAACTTTTTCTTCCTTCCTTTTTTTTTCTCCTCTTCTTCGAAACTCACGCACCTTTCGACTTCTTTCTCTCTTGTTCTCTTGTGTCGTGCTATTTACCAACAGCCAGAAAAACTGTTCTCCAGCCTCGACGATCACACGCGAACACCACCACCACCACCGCTCGACAAACTGGCGTTTCGAACGGACCCGGACGAGGAGAGCACACCGAAGCAAGAGGCGAAAACGACGATCTCACACGCGCATCGTTTCACGTATATACGTGTCGGAATCGGGAAGGTACGTGTGCGTGGTGAAGCCGGTCGGTCCCCCGTCGGATCGAGCACGATTCCTCTGCCGATCTTCGAACGATCGCGAGTACGCCGGCCTGCGCAACCTGTCTTCGTCGGCGAGTTCGATCGAATTCTGGCTGAGGGAGCTCTGGCGAGTATATCGCGCGCGCGTGAACGGCTCCAGCTGGGCGGACGGCACAGCTCGCGGCTCAAGGCGACGACAGAAAGCTCTCGCAACCAGCCCAAAATGGCGACCCGGGGCCTCCTACTCCTTCGCCGGACCGATCACTCCTGACAGCCAATCCTACTCTTCCTCCGCGAACACGGCCTACCACCTCTGACGTCATACCGCTCGAGTCAAATCAGCTTCCCGTCGACGACGTACGCGCCGCTGCCTCGTTAAACGACTTAGGGCCAAATGTGATCGAACGCGGCCAGTTACCGAGGCATTCTGACAACGGTTCCGTCCCATCGACGATTGCACGCGTTGGTTAAATTTGAAATCGATCTGAAGATGTATATATATTTATATGTATATGTTTATATGGTAATTACAAAATATATGTATATATGGTAATTATAAAATATCGTGAGTCGAAAAAAGAAAAGTTATATTTAACTACAATGGACGCGTGTACTAAAAATCGTTTGAGAAAAATCGAAACGCATCCGAATCATAAGGCGTCCGCTCGACACGCTCAATTCGTCACATCGGAAGTCCGAAATACAGTGACCTTGGGTATTTCTTTCGTCAAAACGTATGTTGTAACTATATGTAACAATTAAAGAAATTTTATTGTCGATATAAAATAAATTAAAAAGAAAATAGAAAGAAAGAAATAATAAGTATTCAGTATCAAATTCAATACACTTAATTTGTTACGATAGTAAATTTAAGATGATCATTCATTCTTGTATTATATATTTACGTAAAAATAAAAGTAACGAAAGAAGGAACGACGATGGGTCTCTGCTCCGCGAAACACCTCCAAGAAATGGTGGGGACTGCGGTGGTCAATTTACAAGGCGCAGTTTTGGCCATTTAACGAGGCAACAGCGTGGCATGTAAATTTTTGCAAGAAACGCGTACTTGTAAATTAAATTTTAAATCAACGAACTGACGAATTAACGAATTGTTGCAAATTTATGGTCGGATTTGTTTTCTCGGTTTGCCTTTCGTCTTTTCGACGTTCCATGATTTCGAACAATACACCATTTTGGCAAAACATGCACGTAAAACTGAAAAACGTGTTTCATTCCGGTTTGAAAATAGATGCGAAATTTTTCGACGGCAAAAAGGGGAAAATAGAAATAGAATAACAATGTTAATTAAAATATCGATCGAAAAGAGTACCTCCGTGACGAGTTCAAAATCGATAACGACGGTTCAATCCCTGCGCACGCATATTCCTTGCCAAGTAATCCATCTAATATATGACGTATCAATGATTAGCCAGAGAAATAAAATTATCCTTTCAATTTAAGCAGTCCGTCATCTTCCATGCTTATACAAAATTTGATCAAGCGTTTTAACGAACTAAAAAATAAACCAACACAGTTAAATATGCAACGGAGATTTCTCGTCGGTTCTAGGGATTAAATGTAACTATAAAATTTCTGGTTGCACTTCTAGCGAGTTTTAGTGAGGTCTAAGAACCTAGTGAAATTCTCTATACGAATGAATAAGTAGCAATTCATTTCACTATATTTGAAAACGAATTTTTTCATATGGTTTTCAGATCTTTAATTTTACAAATTTAAATCTCAAACTAAAAATTTGACAAATTTTTCAATAACATTCTACAGTTAAAATACCTGCAAATAGTATAGCATAGATTTTCAATTATTTTCATTTGTTCGTCTCGAGGACATTAATGCGACGTACGTTGGCATAACTGTACGTTGTGACAACACAGCACCGTGGCGAACGTTGATCAATGAGTCGAACTGGTTTTGACTAGAAAAATATTTCTTAAAAATGCGTACGTATAAATTTGTAAATCATCGACTCATTCATAGAAAGCTTTGTTACCTGTAAGATTACCTATAAGATATTAAAAAAAAACAATATATACTGATAAGTTGATCATATGCACTTTGATACCGGTTTTTCCAATTTAAATTAATTTCCTTGAAAAACAGCAGTTGAAATAAAGTATTTCTTTCTTGTCCTTCAGCTGTCAGTAGCGGAGTATCATTTGTATTGTCATCAATTTTGACCGTTCTTGTATTTTCTGGAATGCAAATATACAAAGCTCCCCTGGCATCGTCACAAATTTATACAATATTGGGAGGATACATTGGATCTATACTATTTATGTGTGTGTTAACTGCAATAGGAAACCTGGAGGCAACAATATTTGGCAAATCATTTCAACAAAAGTTGTTTCCTGAAGGTATATTACTCAATATTGATACTAAAAGACCAAATATTATCTACTTAAGATAACAATATGATTTTTTTATTACAGTTATTTTTTCATTGATAGTCAGCTTGATTGCATCAGGCTTGGTGCATCGCGTAGCAACGACAACGTGCTTTCTGTTCTCTATGATTGCATTATACTATATTAATCGAATTTCCCAAGAAACATACACGGTTCCAGCACCTATGGTTTCAGTTCATTCAAAGAAGAGAAAGTGAAGAAGTCAGAAACTTCGTATGATTTTGTACTTTAAGAATTATTCTTATAACTATTTTTAACTTATGAATTTTTGTATAAAATTATTCTGTTACTATTGACTTGTAATTATTTATTTCTCTCCATCTCCATAAAAATAGAGTTACAAAAGACAGAGAATAGAAATCAGAATATATTTATATTATGTACAAATATATTCAACTTTGCAATACTTTAGGAGTTGTTCTTTCGTTTCTGCTGTGTTTCTCTGCTTCTTCTTTGTCACTGAAATACTCAAAGGACTCGTCCAAGTCGTCAACATTGCTTTCTTTCCCATTGGAGCTACCTAATGTAGATTGAGACACGACTTTTTTGTATATTGTCATTGCCTGAAAATATGAATTACATATAGCAGTGTACAATCTATGAAGTAACAAATATGATCTCAAATCCTCAACATACTTGCGTTACTAGGGAAGACACATCAGAAACATTACTGGGCAAAATCAAAGTATTATTGACCTTTGCCAATTTGTTAAATGCTTTAACGTATTGCTCAGCTATACTATATGCTGCTGCATTTTTTGCGTCAGACATGTTGAGAGCATTTGCTACAAGTTTTAAACTTTTTGCACGTGCTTCTGCAATGGCCACTAAAGCCTGTGCAGTACCAATTGCTCTATTTATTTCTTCTTGTTTTACAGCCTCTGTAACGAGATTTACAGTAAATCATTTATCATATTCTAAATAAAATAAAGTATTCGTAAATAAAAGCATAGTTACAATTACCCGATGCCAGAATCTGTGCTGAACGTTTTCCTTCTGCTATATTTATCTCTGCTTCCCTAGTTCCTTCTGATTCTAAAATTGCAGCTCTCTTCTTGCGCTCCGCTTCTACCTGCATTTGCATTGCCTCCTGTATTCTTTGAGGTAATCTTATATCACCTGTGGCAAAGAATTAAAGTAACAGTAACTTTGACTTCAAATCAAAAATGTTTCTTCATGCAACCTTACGTATTTCATATCGTAGACACGCTATTCCCCAAGCTTCGCTGGCTTTGTTTATACTTTCAACAATACCCACATTAAGCTCTTCTCTTTCTCTGAATACCTTATCTAAAGATATTTTTCCCAACTCGGATCTCATTGTGGTTTGAGCCAACTGAACCACAGCAAATTCCGGATCATCGACACCATATGAAGTCAAATATGGATTAACTACTCTCAAGTATAACACGCCATCAATATTTAATGTTACATTATCTATAAATAAAAGAATACCATAATTAATATTGTATTCATATTCATAACATTTAAATGATTAACAATATATACCTGAAGTAACTGCACTTTGTTGAGGTATTTCTATGGCTAATTCTTTTAGACTTTGGACATACTTAATTCTATCAATTATTGGCGCAAGAATGTTTAAACCTGGATTCAGCACTTTGTGAAACTTTCCCATTCTTTCGACAATCCATGCCTAGAAGTAGTAACTAGCATTAGATAAATTTAGATAAATTTCACTTTGATAAAATAATATAGCAATAACAGAAATAATTATGTACCTCCTGTTGTGGTACAAATAATATAATAGTATTAATCGGAGTGCCAGATTTATATCTAACGTGTTGTATGACCGGCAGTTTGGTTACATGATGTTTCAGTCCAAGGGCTGGCTGATGCTTTGAGCAAAATTTTGGTTATATTGCAGAAGAAGAGAAAAATAAATTCTTTAAAAAATGAGTAACTCGGAAAGTGGTTACCTTTATCATAAAATTACGAGCATGCTGTTTAAATTGGTAGTTAAACCTCCATATGAATGTTCGCAACATTCTGACAGACACGATAGATGTTTTTCAGCACTGTATTAGGTTAGATGTACGCGTTACCATCAAAATTACCATTCGAAATTTCAACAAAGAGGAAACATCCAATCGGCTATTTCTTAACAGTAATCACCAAAAAATATTTCATTCATAAGACATAATATTTCGCTCTTCGCACATTCACAAACTTAATAAAATGCAACTGAACAAAAGTACATGAGATGTCCTGATAATCGCGTTTGTCTCTCTACTATCAAAGAATTCTTCAACGTTTCAAAATTATAACGTATCACACACGATTCTTTATCTGCATTTTACATTATAATTTCTTTGAAAATATGAAATACTTTTTCATTTGATTGAAAACGATAGAGAAGATTTTCTAAGTGAAAAAGATATTTAAATTTCGTAAAATATTAATTAAACAGCGTGTGATTTATACAGCCCTGTTTATGTTTTCAAATTTTTAAGACAGTCAAACGATACTCCAACACCTTTAAATGCATCTTCTTATCTTTCGATGTTCTTTCGTTATCGACTTAATTTTCAGCTACTTTTATCATTTTTAATTGTGAGTACATTCTGTCCTTAAAAAAAATCACAAAGTGATTCAAGATCCGAATCAACCAAATAAATAAACCATGGTGGAAGAATTCCAAAAAAGCGTGCAGAACTAAACAAAAAATTTAAAATGAATTATTCTCTAATAATTGTGAGCATTTTGACTGTATTTAATTATTTTACTCAAGCCAGATAATATGACCCATACGCATTTATTAATAGTCACAATAGTTATTGTACTCAAACCAGATAATATGATCCATATGCATTTATTAATAGTCACACTTTACTCTAGCTTAAAACAAATTCAAGGGAATCTACTAAAATACTCGAATCATCTCTTACAGTGTTCATTCCCAGATTACACAAATCTTGGACTTTTCAAACAACGCGTCCGAGATTTACACGCCATCTTTATCCATCCGATGTATTTCAAGTTACGATGATATCGTAACGATCATCGTTGGTTATTCACAGAATATATCCACGTCTTTATTCGTAAAATACATCCATTAATATCCATTAAAAATCGCTTCAACTTAATTTGGAAAACAATATTTACCAGTATCAGATATATTGTTGCTGCTATATTCTCGTGCCGTTTGCACGATTGTTACTTCGTATTTCCCGCCGCGAAACAGTGTGGGAAACTTTGAGGAACGACTCTAAGATCGAGGAAAGAGAAACTAATTCCTATTGGCTATCGCGAACCGCCGTTGGAACGTTGACCAATGAGAAGCAATGTTGTTCACGCGGCGAAATAACTCTTCGGCCGCGGTGGGGGGAGCAGCCTATTGTGACAGTTGTGTGGCAGCTGACAGTCCAGTGGAAAATATCGCGTGTGTCAGGTGCATGTTATCGTTTAGGTCGAAAGATTGCCGTTTAATCGAAAATGTCTTCGCCTGCACAAGTGGTGAGCAATATTTCTCTTTGTCACGAACTGTTTCACAGTATCTAACGATTTCACCGATGAATCGTCCTCGCCGAATTCGCACAACTTCCCCCGATTGTCCGCGTCTTGACAGTTCTCAGTTGCAAAACAAGTTCGTTGTTTTCTCGTTTTCATGGGACAAGGTCCTCGAGGGATTGACTTTGCCCTCATAGCGGGGCACAGAGATGCAAAACACAGCGCGAGAAAACTGTTCCACCGAACAGCTGTTCTCTTTGTTTTAAACAAGTAAAGTTGTCTCCTTTCTTTTTTTTTTATTTTTTCTCTCTCGTTTCTACTCTCGTCTTTTGTTTACGAACTATTAATAACCAATGTTGGCAGTATTGCAGGAGTCACCCTTGTTCTCACGCGTTCGTTTCCGCCAGCTGGAACTAAAGAACACCGCGGAGGGCCCGGTGGACTCGCTTTTTGAAATCGATCGTCGCCGCCGTATCTCTTGCCGCGAGAATTACGATGCTTTCCGTTCACTCAGCCCCCGTTCGGCACTATACATAGTACATATAACGAAATGGCAATTGGCAAAAGCGACTGTGAATCAACTTCCCTCGATCTCACTGGCTTTCACCACGACGTAAAAATTAACACTGGAACCACCGACGGTTGAAGCACAAAATTTCAGAAACATCAGAAACGTTAAAACAAAAAGAATAAGAAAATGATGCTTTATGATACAATCTTGTAATACTCTACAGAAACTTTTATTTGCACGTTTTACAAAAAATCATTTAAATACATTGCTTTACATCTGTAAAATTGTCCAGAGAAATTATAAATCCGTCATTCTAACTGTTTTGGTAGTTCCAGTGTTGATTAAAATTTGATCAATGAATACTGATCGACTATCCTGAGCAAGATTCACCACTGGTCCTGCAATTGATCAATCAACGCGTGACGTTTCACCGAAACGCATTTTTCGCTCTGGACAAAGAGTGAAATCAGTCCTTGAGAACTGATTCCTTTTAGTACCATGCCATTTGAATCATCATTCAAATTGGCCGTTCTCTCAGGATCGTATCGTTGGAACTCACGCTGTTTTCAATTATTCGCGTTATTTTAACGTGCGCCGCGTTAATTTACAATTGCATTAATGTTAATAACGTCATTAACGCATAGAGGCATTCTTTCTATTCGGCTCGTGGACTTTAAAACCGGGACAAATATTATGATTGCACAGGGATATGGAACAATTAACGCAAAAGCATTGTGTTTTATCACGTTATGATAATATATGTACTGTTCTATTATCTTATCGCTCGTACCTCGTTTGTTTTTCCTCTTTATCATTTTTTTCTCTTTTTTTTTTCTTTGTCCCGTGCTAAAATACAAAGTTATTAACTTCTTCTCTCCCTTCGATCGTCCTGCGCGACTTCTTTAACTCGTTTGCAGTAACAAATGTCACACACAGTCACGATGCATTTAACCAAAAAAAAAAATCATCCTTTCTTAATTAACACTTTGTTTACTGAGACTCCTTTAACAATCAAGAAAACAAAATGTATCTTAACCCATTTGAAGCTTATTTTCGTTGACGCACCTCCTCGAGCAATTGGTGCCAAAAAAATTTTGCAAAACGCGTCTGAAATTTCAATCTGACTTGCAAAGCAAATTCTGTTTACCAATATTGTTTGTCTCGAAGTATAAGTATAATAACCAGGGGGCGTGTCTCAGGTTGAATAGTTCATTAATACTATATTAGAATTGACAGTTTTTTTTTTTTTCATGACCACAGAATTTTCACTGATTGGAAAATGTTGAATAACATTAAACGGTAACATTTGCTCTTCCCAGTTCCCAATTGATGTTGTTCAACTGAGGTAAAGTAAAATAAATAGAACAACAGAGAATTATACAAAGCGGGGATAGAATGACAATGGAATGGACAAAGTAGAAAAACAGAGGCGACAGGTTGATAAGTAATCGATACGTAGAGGTTTTGTTCAAGTGGGTTAAGAGAAAAGATAATTAGCGTTCGGCGTCTCGGTTAAGGAGGTGTTAGATTACACACCGTTCACGGTTTACACGCCGTCCGATGCCGATTTCACGATTTTGTCTGTTCCAGTTAAAAAGTGTCGGCCCAAAGCTAGTCCCGTTCTTTAAAAGCGTGTCTGTATATTTTATATTACTGGCCGAGCAGCCGTCCCTGCTGACGGCATGTTTCAAGTGTTTGCCAATTATAAGTCTTATCGTCTTTGTTCTGCTACATGGAATTAGTTTATCGCAGGAGTAAGTGCGAAAGAATTTTGCATGCGCCGATCCTTTTTCTTTTTTTGTCTCGCATCTTTTGTTTCCTAACTCGACTCGAACGCTCTCGTACGATAGTTGTTTCTTTCCTTTGTTTTTTTCTTTCCTTTCTCCTTTTTTTTTTTTTTTCTTCTTTTCGCTTCAAGAACGTGTTGAGAAATTGAAAAAAAAAGAAAAAGAAAATGAAACTCTGAAGCGGGGGAGAATCGTTAGAAACCCGCGCCGCCAGCGTCCCACGTGCATTTTTCTAATGACAAAGCCGGAAGATGATTGACTGGAGGTAATTTAATTCACTTCCGTGTTCTCCCGTTTTTTTTTTTCTTTCTCTATTATCGACCTGCACCCTTTGCAGTGGCTCACCAAAGTACGTACGCAGTTTCTCAACACACTCTTCGTGAAGAGATTAAAATATACATGTATATATATTATTCAATATTATTATATACAATATAATATTATATTCAATATAATATGTTGTATATTATTATACAATATAATATTATATTCAATATTGTATATTATTATATACAATATTATATATATTATTCAATATTATTATATATATTATATGTATATTATAATATATAGATACATATATACACACATATATTACATGTACATTATAATATAATATTGTGTGTGTATGTATATATACAAAGATATATATAAAACAAAGCATGTGATCTTAAACGTACAGTATCTAATTAAAGAGGCATGTTACATTATTTCGTGTAACTGTACATTTTCAGATTTACGTTAATATCAAGTATAGTTGTGTATCAACGAGGCAACAGACACAGTTACCCAAAGGATTTTTAAAAGCACTCGAATGCTTTTGTGAGCCACCAATATATATATATATATATATATATATATATATATATATATACACATTTTGTATCGACAAAATGACACTTAGCAAACGGAGCGGAAGAAACGAATTAATCGGGCATTGTGTTACATTTCCGTGGCTACTTGTAATAGGCGCTAGCTAACATTTGTCATACGACCTCGCTTACACGCTTATTTTCAGGTCGCTTTTTTTCCACCCTTCCGCCCACTCTTCTTTTCCTTCTTCAATCGGTGAACTTACCACGGCACAGTCTTTTTTTTCAAACGTCCCGCCAGTTTCGTTCTTCTCTCAACGATTTCCGCACTCCACAGATCCTCCTCGCGCGAAAATTCTCTCGGTCTCGCACAGTCTTGTATGAGCAGTTTCCCGTTGGGAACGGAGAAGAGGATCGATTTATTACGAGACAGAATATAACGTTCTGTGTCGGCCTTGTGACGTACTTACCGATGATTGCTCTTCTTCCTATGTAATGTACGAAACGTTCTCTCTCTCTCTCTCTCTCTCTCTCTCTCTCTCTCTTTCTTTCTATTGCGTTTCGACGATCGGTAATATATATATATATATACATATATATATATTATTTCTGCAATATTTCAAATAAACAAATATTTATATATGTACGTATGTATATATCGTTCAAAAAAAAAAAAAAAAAGACGAACATTGATCGAAAAAATATTACGACCGAAAAAGTCACCTGAAAATGTAAGTGTAAGCTGGAATATTTCTTCACTGCTTCTCTCTCTGTGTGCTTTTTTATCGCTTGAAACCTTTGGATTCATCGTCAGAGCTGGGCACTATTTACATACCTGAAACATACAGTTTGATTGAATTGTTCGATGACAATGTATCGTCGTTATATCATGTGAACGTTATATATATATATATCTGTCGAGCGAAATATGCCCATTTCTGCCATGATGGACGTGACGTTCTTCGAGGAAATATTTGTATCAATATTTGTATGTTGGTAGTATCAACGTTCATAAATAAGTGAGAAAGAATCATCATGGGAAATCTGTCTCAATATTAGAACTACCTGGAAGAGTGAAAGAACAAAAATGTTGATTAAATTAATTAGCAATTAAATATTATTAAAGTTAATAGTCGTCTAAGGAAACATTGTATGTTAGGTAGTTCTAGTATCATCGTTATTGCTACCTTTTGTTCTAACTTTTTGTCAAACATTGCTATTTCATTTCGCTTGGAATGGCATCGAGTATTCTAAATACGGCTGACCGTTTCATTCTTTTTTTTCAGATACACATTTTCCAGGCGAATATTGACAGGGTTGATATTCAGTTGCATAGGAGATGCGTTATTGGTTTGGCCCAGTTGTTTCACCCCAGGAATGTGCATGTTCGCACTGGCTCAGATCATGTACATCAGCGCGTTCGGTTTTATACCGCTTAACATAGCGCTAGGTACAATTTTATACGCGATGTGTTCACTAGGTAATTCATTAATAATTCTCAATGACTCTTCATTGTAAAAAGGCACACGTGCCAATTGAAGAAACAAAGTACAAAGATGTCTCAATAACTGGAGGGGAAAAAAGATTGAAACTTAAATTTCCCATTTATGCGAACAATGAGATTTGTAAATTTGTCAAATATGGTTTCTCCGAGAACGAGACGTCTTGAAAATGAAAGAATTCCACTTTGTACTCTTCGCGTAGAATCGTCCTCCTTCCCTCGCCAATTACTCTCTATCAAGACTGTTGAAACACCCTGTTTGAGAATTGAAGAAACCTCGACAAAGTACAGCAGAAAGAAAAAAAGAAAAAGAAATCAAATTGTATTTTTCAGTCATATACGCTTTAATGCCTGGTCTGAATGGAATTCTGGTGATCGGAGTACCGGTTTACACGGTGTTACTAACCACCATGGCGTGGAGGGCAATCTCCAGAGTACAATTTTACAAAGTACAGAGAATAGAGAAGTACTACAGAAGAAGAAAAAAAAAAAAAAAACAAAAAGATCGTGCTTCATTTACGCACAGTGTTTTTCAATCTATCTGGATACTTCACGGGTCACTTGACTTGCTTCCTCTCCGCTTTCACGTGGTATAAAGTTAACAGTAAATGAATTAAGTTGCATGTTCTGTAATGCGGTGTAACGTGATCCACTGATCCGCTCGAAGGGTGAAGCGAATTATGTGTGTACACGTGGGAAACAGGATGGCCTACACCTTGACCACGTGTGCGCGCATTTTCTTCCTTTTTTCCATCGGCGGCGTCGAGAGGGGAAAAGAATCTGCGTGTTATAAATAAATTATGAGTCAAGAGAACTTTTTATTAAATTATCTAGATTAAAGAAGATGTATCCTCTTACACAAAAGGATTCCATCGAGACACTCATAATGAACAAACGAAGCCCTTTAGCAAACTGAATGATCCAACACTGGTTGAAGAACACTGTGTTGAAGAACAAGTAACTATTTTCATCATACGAAATATCCATCGAATAAACCTTTCGTATTTCTTCCGCCAGGAGTTATGGACGTGGACTAAATTATGCAGCTGCATCGGCAGTATATGTTTCCTCATATCTGACACGCTACTCGGATTTCACTATTTTCATACTCCACTACCGTATTCTCAGGTATGTATACGGTGATATTTGTGGTATGGTATCAGTTTGCCCGATTCTTTTCTTTTTTTTTTTTTTCTTTTTTTGTTAATCCGTCAAGATGTTCTTTTTTCCAGGTTTCTATAATGTTAACGTATTATGCGGCTCAATTGGGGATAGCTTTGAGCGCGGTTGGTTCTAAAAATAGTAACAATAATAATAACAATATTAGCAACGACAAAGACGACGCAGCCTTGATCAAAGGTTAAAAAGGAGTTTCATCTTCTGGTTGTAGGCGAAGTGAATATTACGTTATACTGCTCGAAATAATCCACGAGTTACACGAACGAGAAAATAGCCTAGTATCGTTATTGAAATTCAGTTTCTCAGTAGCGTTTGAACTGAGGCTGTCCAGATATAGATAATACAAATCTAGCTATTTTGAGCAGTATATTACAACTAGAGATACCTACACATAGATTGGTTTTAGCGTAATCGTTGTTTTGAAATAGGTATAATGCACCTCGTTAAAGGATTTATGGGTAATGTCGTAAATCTAACAGTCCTGAACACTGCCACTTTCCTAAGGCAAGAATTTTTACCTGACTATGATTCATTGTAGTCGACATTTATTGCATTTAACAATTGTTAACTATCGGGTCGTTATTCATTCCGTTTCTTTTCGACGTGAGGGAGGAGATACGCATTATATACATACTTTGAGAAACGCTGTAAATCTTTTATGTGTAACCGCATAATATTACTCGGCGGACGGTTAGAATGATATTTGCAACTGCAAGAATTTTTTTACTTCAATCGTACTACTGTAATGCTCAATCTGTAACGTTTATTCATAACTGTTCACGCTCGTCTGTTATGTCGTTACGGGCGTTGAATATTAATAGAGACAAAAGATTTCAGTATTTCTAACTATAATTAACTATCAACCCGAAACCTCGGGTTCCTTGTAGTATTCTCAGAAACGTTGAACATGCAGTTTGTGTGTCGTCTCGTGATACACGTTGTAAATCAAAAACGCATTTCTTTGTACAGTAGCGGGTAAACGTGTTAAATATCACGTGAACATGTTAGTTAAAATGTGTAGATAGCACGATTTACTTGTTAAAAAGGAAACTGAAAATTTTAGACGTTTTGCTACTGTTGTTTGTCTCGTTTTGCATGATATTGCAAACGAACCGAGACAAAGAAAGAGAGAAGGAAAGAATTGTTTAAGAATTTAAACAATTTTTTGACAAGTATTTTACTATTGTTTTACTATTGCATTTATCAAGATTATCATAAACATTAGACAATAGTATAGCATTTATCCCAATTACGATAGGCACCAAGTGGAACATCCAACTCAAACGACTAAAATATTATTTTTCCAATGAAACTATCTTTTATATATATATCAATGGGACGAAGGAGAAGTACGATTTCCCCTTTTCGGAGTACGCAATAATCGACTAGTACACGTTCACACGTAGATCTCGATGACATATCACTTAATATTAATGATTAAAGTAATCATGTTCGAATTGTAAAAAAAAAAAAAAAAAACGAAAGAACCTGAATTCTTTAGTATGTACAATTAGAGCTGGATAAAAATGAATTTGATGGCGAAAGAAAAACAGATTCATTTCAAATAAAGACGTTGAAGTGCGAATATGCTTTTTTGTTAAGAAGAGAAACACTTGTTACTTCACAGTTACAACTTCATTGGATTCAGCTCTTTCGACACATATTGTAAAAAGATATATTTAATGTATTTTAATACAAGAACATGTACAAGCGTAGCATAATACCGTTTCGTGGAATACATTTAGACGTGTGTATTTCAGAAAAGAAATTTTCGTAGAAATGTGATATTTAATATTTTAGAGCGCATACTTCTATTTTCTTCAAATTAATTGATTGTTGGTCTTTGTGAAACTGACGTTAAAGAATGTTACTCAATGAAGGTTTACACTTTGTAACTCTATTTTAACTACATGCAACTGTTTCAATTTGATTCGTAGATTGCTAAGTGGAAATGTGCAAATTTAAATTGTATTTTTTACGTGATTAAAGTTTTGTTAATTCGACCAACTCCATATCTTTATTACCAATAATGGCACGAAAAAAAAAACATTTATTCTTCGACAGATATTACTGCAAGACCAATGTTTCCGCTCCTCCTCGTCGTACGACGATTCCATTCGACTGTTTACTTTCCTCGGCGCACTTTATTTTACACTTGAACACGCTAAAAAGTAATACATACGTGTGAATATTTCATATTCATTTATACATAAAATATATAAATGTTTTGAAATATTAATTTTCTGAAATAGAATATACTATGCTTTCACTTACGATAATACATCGTTCCACATCTGCGTTTGTTTTTCGTTTACCACGGTGGTTTGTTTTAAACGTTCTTTCTCCAACATTAAATTTTTTAACTTCGTTTCCTCCGCCTGAATGGCAGAGTTTAGTTCCTCCTTAATCTTTTTACCAGGATCAGAAATTGTTGGATCCTATACAACGCAATACTTACAGACAAACAACGAGACAAACGAAAATGAATTGAATTTAACAAACCTCTACGTTTCGTTTTATTCTTTCTTCCATATTCTTCATTTTAATCATAAGATTCCGCAGTTTCTCCTTCTCTTCCACATCCTTTTACGCACAATTATAATATTCACTGTATAATTAAATAAATTTTAGGAGACACGAGAACTTAATTACCTTTGCTATTTTCGCTTTTCTATTCTCCAGTTCAGACTGCAAATTGTTAATCGACGTGCTCATGCTTGACTCTACTTCGTTTTGCGCTCTCTTCACTTTTTCCTGCTGCTGTTCGAACTCTCGACACTTTTCTCTCAAACTTTGCACCTCTGCGTTATTAAAAATTTTCAAATTCCTCATTTCGAATACATCTTACACGTATATATACATTTTTTGTTTCGCTATATTTTTACATGTGTGTTTTATTACCATTTATTAATGGGACCAATCTCGCCCTAAACGCCGATATGTCACGAATCAGTTGGAGATTCATCGAGGACGCGTTATCCTGCGTGAAATTTGCCGGAGTGTTCTTCTTCACGGTTTCCAATCTTTCTTTCGCCTGACTGTACTGATTATACTAACCAGATATTACCCAATAATGTTATTACATCAATAAATTCAAATTACACCAATTAACAGATACTAGCACCAGTTGCTGTGTATGATCTGCAATAAATAAGAAAAAGAAGTATACTTGATTTTCCAAGATGGCAGCTGTCCGATGCAAAACACTGTTCTCCGCGTTAAGCCACGTCAGCTCGGATTTACAATGTTTGTAAAGCGTTCCCCTGGTTTTCAAACGATTTATGTACTTCTTTAACTCCTCTCCCTTCGGGATAACGTCTTCTACCGCCATTTTCGACAGTTCACACTTCTCCTGCAATTTCTCTTGCAGCTCCTCCAAGGAGCCCGTTGTCTTTTCCAATTTGTCGAGGACGTTCCTTTTGATATTGGCAACCGCGGCCGCTTGCTGCCGGAACGGCTCGATTTTATCGATATTGCTCTTCGAAATCTGTATAAATCAATGAGAAATAAGTTCTATTCCCTGTCAAATTTAACGAACGTGAAGCTAGTGGATAAGTGAAAGATCTCGAATTCAACCTTAAGCTCTATCAAATTCTGAATCTCTTTGCCGACAGTGTCCAATTTATTTCGCAGAGTGGTTATCTGGTCTGGGCTCAAGTACGGATACTGTTTCACCGCGTTCAAAGCCTTTATGTGATTCTTCTTCGCGTGTATCTCCGCCGGCAATTTTTCATTCACGACTATAGTCTGGACGGTGATCACCTCGGACGAACGTTGCAACAACGACTGAACAGTGACTTCGTTCTTGTCTTTCTTTAGAATCTCCAACTCTCTCTCCAATCTTTGCAGATTGGTCTGCAAAATTGTTTCAAAATTTCTGTCAGAACTGAATTTAACATGTTGGAACGTTTGAATTTACTTCGCTCTACGCGAGATCAAATCAAATTCATTATATTATATTATGTTATATTATATTATATTATATTATATTATATTATACTATATTATATTATATTATATCATTATATTCATTATGTTATTGAACGTTGTTGTATCAACGTTCTTATAAATTTAAATTATCCAGAGTCTCTGTACTTGTAATCTGGATATTATTTCTCTTTCTTGCTCCTCTTGCAGCGCGAGATCGCGTTCCTTGTCTTTCTCTATTCGCAACGCTTGTGCGGCGTTCAACAAGTGCATCCCGCTCTCGGCTTTCGTTTTCATCTTCTCTATACGTATCGTTACCGCCTAAATCAAGCATTTAATTAAAATTAAAGTTTAAACTCGCAAGCAAAAAGGAAAAAAGAACGAACAAAAATCCGTGAAGGAGTATACCCTTACTTCTTTCTCCTTCTCCATCGTTTTCAAATCGGCAGTGAGCTCACTGGCATTTTCGAAACTCTAATCGTAAATAAAATGTTAGAGGTACTACAAATGCTTGTGCAATTATCCGAAGTGTTGTATAAATGAGCCTGATCCTTTACCTTTCTACCGATCTCCCTTTCCCTGTGCACCGCTTTGAATCTATCAATCAAACTCGCATACTGCTCGTACAAAGCGGAGACCTCTGGCTCGCCTAAATACTCACCGGGCACCTCCAGCTAATTGACAATGACGTAGAAGAGTAGGGCAGAAATAATTTCAACCGTGTATGTGTAAAAATAACTTTAAGAGAAACGTGTATATACCTTCACTAGGAAACGCGATAAGTAAACCCTTTTCCGAACAGTGTCTGCATTAGACAGAAGCCAGGTGAGGATAGGATGAATGGTGTCAGGATCTCCGCGAATCAGACCCTGTCTGTCCACGCATAAATTCATTATGAATAAAAGTAATCGAGGAGTGTTTTTCAAGTGATGTTCCAGGTAATTAACTCACAATTATACTTGGTTTTAATATTACATTGAAAATACTATTAAATGCATCTTGGACGTATAGAAATCATTCTTAATAAGCTTCATAATTAATAAAAGAAGAAGTGAAACGAAAGAAAAAATTGCAGATTCTTGCCTGAAGGTCACTGGATCTGTTTGAGGGTGATAATGAAGAACACGGAGGATGGACAAGATATAAATAGAGGTCTCTTCAGGAGTTTCACTCTTTGCGTCGCTGGCATTGACATTTTGATCCTGTATCTTAATCAACACTTCCTTCAATACCTACAATGCAACTAGCATGAACAAACCCAGCCCTCACATAACATCGTTTGAATTAATTTACGAATAAAATTCTCAACTCCATTTTCTTAATTTCAACTATCTCATTCTACTTATGTTTCCCTTTTAGTCAACAATTTATGGATCCTCGACAAGGAGTTGATTCAGAGTGAGTTAGATTCTTACTTGAAGCAGTTCCTCTGGGCTCAAGGAATTGAAATAAATGACATTATAATTGCGTCCCAACAATTTGTTCACCTCGGTGACAATGAACTTGGTGTTCTCCCTCATTGTACGTCAAATTTCTTCTTCTGTTCTCGTGCAAAGCTCAGGAGCGACTGGAAGAATGTTTTGTTGTGGTCTGTCTGTTGTCCTGGTAACTCCCTGCTACTGAAAGCAAAACTCCACGTGGAACACGAAGGAATTCCCTTTGATACGACGTGTATTCGAATCAGGTGATCTCTCTGCGTTGACCTTTTGCTCGAATTTAGTCACTAATTAAATCTGCTGCACGATCCCACTTTATCGGTGATTCTTCGAAAGGTCATTTGATTTTCAACTTGCTGTGATCGTTCAGTGCAACTCTCTTGCATATTGATTTTGCGGCAATTTCTACGCTAGCTGGCTTAATAGATGCAACACATTAATTATTATGTAATAAGATATTACGTACAGAAGGAGCCATTGAAATTGATACAATTAACCATATTGAGTATTTCGAATCAGAAATGAAACAGTGTGGTAATAATAGTACTATTATTCGAGAAATTATATAATAATAATAATAATAATATACTTGATATTCTGTAATAATTATTATATACATATAAAAGAATATTAAAAATTAATCTTTTAATCATCTTTTCGTTTTCTTCACCAATATTTCTTTATGGTAAATAATTATCGCATAAACAATATTATGATATAATTATTATGAATAAAGAGATAGGATCCCGAATGTGGTTTCAAGAATGATAATTAGCTTTATTAAAAAGAAACTTATCGAGACACACAAGATCATCAATTAGCAAACAATGACAGGGAGTTGTATTGCCTCGTTTTTCTTTTTTTTTCATTTAAATATATTTTCAAACATAACGTGATGACTTTTCTTTCTTCCTTTTCATCATATAAAATTGCAGGTGTGGTTACATTTCTTTTTTTTTTTCTTTTTTCCTTCTTGGGTAATCGTACAATTTTGAGATACATAAAAAAACTTAGAAGTTGATAAATTCACTCTATGTTATAATAACATAGTGAATATAGATTTGATATCTTGTGGGAATTGAGATGGTTCATCAGCAGTGTGTGGACTTATCTGAGCATAGGTTTGTTTCTTCGCAATGCTACACTGAACTTTTTAAAATTCTCCTATTTAACAAACTTTCAACACTAAGTAAGTGTGTTAGTTTTTCAATTACATATTCTTTACAGATGTCACTACAACAATTCTTCGTTTGCTTTTTATGTGCGTTAACACGTAAAAAAAGAGAATATACATCGAAGATGAGATCAAAGGGAATACATGTTCTTCTGGACATTTAGCGTGTATCATAATCAAAGTGTATGTGATTAATTCTGTCCCGCTTCTGCTCGCTCGCTCGCTCTCTCTCTCTCTCTCTCTCTCTCTTTCTCTTTCTCTCCTTTGATGTAATTTGCTTTTTTAATGTTAAAGGGCAACGTTTTCTGTTAAACTCTTACAATAATGTTGCGTATTATAAAAATGACTCGTGAAATCTTATAAAAAGAACCATGCAAGTCATATACTTGTGACGATATTTAATAATCAGTCTAAAATTTGAACAATGTAGCAACGTTGTGATAATCAAATACTGCATGAAAAATCGTTTGAAGATTGCACTATATATAAATAGTATAATATATATATATATGTATAATCTATATTTTATCATATATATAAGTACCGTAATATTGGGTATTGGGTGTTACATAAAGGATAGAAATTTAATGAGCTGAATATCTATTCCTTTCTTTTCTTCAGGAAAGAAAAATAAAACGAAAAAAAAGTTAGAAATAAAGAGAAAAAAAAATTCCCTAAGTGTATATTGCCTTGAGAACAATACATTTTGCAAAATTTCGTGTGCACAATATATATATGAAAAAAAAAAATTAAATTATGACAATGACTCGATTTGAATATTATGCAACATCTTACTTAGTACTGTGTAAATATAAATAATCGTTAGATTTAAATTTACGATCAATGAGACAAAAGCTTAATAGCTTTCTCTTTCGTCCGCCTTCAATCCTCGATTTGTTTACAGAAGTGTCACAGAATTCAAACAAAACTGAATTGTTGATGGTTTAGTCGATAACTTTTTCTTTTTCGCAGCATCACAGAATCAAGGGACAATTTACAACATTATGTAAAATAATCAATCAAGGTTTGGCTTACATTCATTATTGAAGACTACTGGATACAGTTTTCCTCAAGCATAATAAGATAATAAAAACCATACATGAATTTGTATGAATGTTACATTATACTTATGTGCATTTAGTGTATTAAACACTAAAAATTTATTAATTTAAAATCGCCAGTATTGAACTCAACTTTGCATTATATATACCTAATATAAAACAAGAACACAACAAATTTTCTGGCATACACAATACATTTTAACATGTAAGATCGTATGTCAATTGGTTTTCTTTCACTTTTTTTTTCATTTCTTCTCATTCAATTAATCATCATCTCCCTACCCTTTTCTTCTCCTCGTAGTTTCTACAGAATTTTTCGTCATTGTCTTATCTCCTGAGATAAGTAAAACAGTAAAGTCAATAGTACCGATGATCGTTACATACTTTTATCTTCTATACTTCTTTGTTTAACTGGGAGTGCGTTTTTTTTGTTTTTTTTTTTTTTTTTT